CTCGGCCACCAGCGACCGGAGGTTCTGGACGCCAAGTCCAGCTATGCGCTTGGCATAGCCAAGCTCCTCATCTGTCATAGGCCGCGGGATGGACTTCACCGGATAGGCGTTCCACCTATCGGAGAATGGCATCGGGGAGCCTACTTCGGCGAGGAAGAACCGCTCCTCCCAGCCGTCCGGATTCCCGGCATTGTTTGAGAATAGGACCATGGATGGACGCGCAATCAGGGTTAAATACCCCGTACGTCCGAAGGGGGACAACCGGAAGAAATGGTGCAACAAATCTACGGTGGGGGTCACGCCAACGCTGTGGCACCTAATTATAAAACCCGCGATGATCCTGTAGGCAGCGGGGACGAACTGAGCGGGCGTCACTTTAAGGCTCCTAAAAAGTTCTATATGGAAGCTGTGAAGAGGGAAAAGAAGGCCAGCTATAACGGAATCTAAATGAACCACCACATGGCCGGGCAGATGGCGCATTGGATTGCGCAGACGACGGTCGTCGTAAACCCTCGGAGGGAGGAACCATTGGTTTATCAACCGACGGTCCGCGTTCAAAAGACGCTGGCGCTGGCGACGAACGCCGGAAAAATTAAGGTGATGACGGGGGGGGCCGAGGTGGCATACCCCGCTCATAGAACTCCAGGTCATCACCAGAGAAGCACCCGTCGTCAAACCTATCCCCGATGGACGACGAGCTGTTTCGTGTCCTTGAATCAATGTTTTGGGGTTCCAACCTAGACTAAGTGTTGGTCCCGATTAAATGGTAATCAGTCTAGAGGGGGGGGGGGGGTGAATAGACTGATTGGTTTTTCAAATTTTTCTCTAAGTCCAAACTGACTTATCAGAGAAGGTCTTACTCTGGTAACAGAGGAAGGCTGGTTCTGATAACAGAACTGGCCTTGGCAGCGGATTCTGATCTGTCTGGGTAGCCTCAGAAACACTAAGGCAAATGCCTTCCTGATAACTCTGAAAACAAGATCTGCTGAACACAGATTCCAAGTCTTAGAGTTAATCAGTTAAAGTCCTAAGTGCAGAATTATAAGTTGCAGTAAATTAAATGACACCAGATATTTTTATAGTGGTTCAAGGAACAACGCGTTCCTCTAGTCCACTGTTCCACTAGCTTTGAAGTAGATCGGTTACAAAGCTTAGTTCCTAGCACTTAAGAAGTTCTCCACGCCTTCTTCAAGCCTAGCTGCCACCCAGGATGCAGTTCCACTTCCTGATGGCTGGTCCTTTCACTCAGCTTCCCGGAAGTATCACCACTTCACTACTGCAGTTACTTGGACGCCCTTCTTTTCAGAAGATCCTTTGAAAAACAAAGTTTTTCCTCCAACTTGCTTCGTCACAAATGATGTTTGATGAAGTTCTTGAAGAGTTGAAGAACAGGATGAACTTTGCTCGTTGTTGGGGATGAAAGATTTGGAGTTTGAATCTTCCCAACGTAGGACTTTTCTTGTAGAGTGTTATGAAGGTTGAATCTCAAGAAGTATGTTCAGAGTAATGAATGGAGCAAAGGTTTTTTTTTTGTTCTTCTTCGTGTAGCTTATATACTGAGGTTGTCTGCCCGTTGGAGGAGGAGACAACTGCATTAAATGCGCGTACTGTTGACTTGACCGCCGTTTTGGAAGGTTTCTATTTTTATAATATATCTTTCCGGATTCCTTGGTCAATCATTTGCAATCAATCCTTCAGCGTATCAGGCTCATTTAATGTGCATTAAATGCTTTCCTTTCATGCACAGTCTTCTAGCCGTTGGATGTTTTTACCCGTTGGATTCATAGCTGTTGGATGTTGCTTGAAATCTTCTAAGTGTTAGTCGGTGTCACGCCCCAGACCGCAATCCAAGCGCGTGTACAACCGCCGTATAATCAAGTGACGTCACCCGCGAGTCAACCTCACTTAATTACACAAGGCGTTCGAGAATATAAACCATCCATACTCAGTAGTAAACATACATAACAACATCACACTTAAACCAATGAATAGCGGAAATATTCAACGGTAAGTCATAAGCCACAACCGGCCAACAACGTACATGGGCATGCAAGCCCCAAAAGTAGTTTATAACAAATAAAAATATCCATGAGCAATGTTTAGTCATTTGAAAGGAAATGAGGAAGCACGAACCACGTCTTCCTTGACTTGATGTCACCCGTAGAAAGGTGCAGGTAGCAAGCCCTAGCTTCAACCTGAAAATGGTGGGGGCCCCCGAAGGGGTCAGTACAAGTACCGAGCGAGTAGCAGGCTAAATATAGAATAACTAGCGTTTCAAGTATAAGACCCAAACATAGGATGATACATATACGTATAGTCTTTCCCCCAAGTTTGAAATACATATTAGTATACATACACTTGGAAATACCCGACCCGTAGGTCATTGTTTATTTGGGAAAATAATAGTAGCCAATATCCTTGACTTAAATCCCAACCCACCCATATACCTATGAGTGTATAGAACTCCTCCTTGTTCAAATAAATCATCATAAGGACACCGCCCGGTCCTAGATCATTAAATGTAATCTATGAGTTTTGAGGATACACGCCCGATCCTTGGGTACTCCACCCTATAATTGAGTTTTGAGGATAACCGCCCGATCCTTGGGTACTCCACCCTATATAACCGAGTTTTGAGGATAACCGCCCGATCCTTGGGTACTCCACCCTATATAACCGAGTTTTGAGGATAACCGCCCGATCCTTGGGTACTCCACCCTATATAACCGAGTTTTGAGGATAACCGCCCGATCCTTGGGTACTCCACCCGACCTATGACTTACCACATATCACACTAGATAGGGTCTATATCATATTTAGCCATTCATAACTAATTCAATACATAAAACTTATGTATCACATTCCATGCAAAGCCATGCAATTATGTAAATGTTCGATTAATTAATATCGACCGGTATTAATTAATCCCTTATCCACCGGTCACGTGGTCGTTGACCGCCATTACAAACCTTGTACAAATCAACTTAATCATCACATAATTAAGTTAAAATATTCATTTGTGCTTCTAATACACTTCAAGCAAATATGCATTTTATATAATTCTCCATATCATATTCTATGCATAAACAATCTATTTCTTTCATACCAACTTAACCCTATTGGCTAATCACATGTTTAAATATCTTTTAAACATCATTATGAATTCATATAACATTTATTTAGGTAAGCTTATAATTAACCCAAAAGTTATAAGATATTAAGCCGTCCACTCACCTTGAACTAGCGTTATGAAGTTCTACCCTTGGTTGAACTCCGGTGAAACTCCGGCGACTTTTGGTCAACTCCGGCGACAACTCCGGCGACTTTTCCAACTTTGTGAAATCACTTGAAATACCTTTCACAAGTTCCTAACAAGGTTTTATAATCATAAAACCCATATTAATACAAATAACCTCAAAACGGTTATTTTCCGGTGAACCGGTCGTTTTGGCTTCTAAGTCCGTTCTTGGACATAGAATCACTTTCCAACCCATTATTCCACACTCACACCATGTAGAACAATCCTAAGGGTTCTTCATATGACATATATCTCATATGATAGAAGAAAAATAAGGGAAGAGTTATGATAAGGTTATTACCTCAATTTTCACACTTTTTCCTAGCTTTTTCCTTCTACAAGCCCTCCTCTTTGGACCTCCTTCCTTGAGCTCGAGTTCAGCTATGGAGGAAGAGTATTTTGAGAGTTCTTCTTCTCAAAAATATGGGGCTGGACGAGTTGGATGGTTGAGGTGAGAGGGAGTGGTTTATTTTGTCTCAAATGACAAAATGTGTGATGGGTGAGGGGTCATCCTTGTACTTTGATGCCAAAGCCTCCTCCTCCACACCTTCCTTTGTCATATCCAGCTCCCCTTTGTCTAATTGAGCACAAAAAAACGTGGGGTGGCCCCCACTCATGTGGGAGGTCATCCCTTTGTGTCCCGATGTGTACAATCGGTCCCGAAAGTTGTATTTTTCGGACTGTTTTAAATATATTTTATTTTATCGGGTCCAATAAAATATATTACGTGTTCCCAACCGTAATGGCCTTTTGAAATAATATATATTCCAAAACATTAATTTAGAAGTCCCCGAAATTCATTTCGGGCTGTTATCCGTTAAATTGTCGGTACCGGTAATTGGGCTTCTTTTGACCGATCGGTCAACCCCAGGCCTTCCCATGGCCCAAACAAGATGTCCACCACCATATAAATATTATTTCGACCCATAAGAATAATTTATGTGATCTCGGGAATATCGGGCGGCCCCCGCTCCCGGTGTGGGTCCCACGTGCAATTTACTATTCACGCGAAAGAAATAATAAAAATTTACAACTTCGTAAATGTAACACCGTCCCCAAATATATTTACTTTTATGTAAATAATGTATTGAACCTTAATAAAGGATTAATGAATTTACGAAGTTGTAAATTTTTCTTCCGCGTGAATAGTAAATTGCACGTGGGACCCACACCGGGAGCGGGGGCCGCCCGATATTCCCGAGATCACACAAATTATCATTTTGGGTCGAAATAATATTTATATGGTGGTGGACATCTTATTTGGGCCATGGGAAGGCCTGGGGTTGACCGATTGGTCAGAAGAAGCCCAATTACCGGTACCGACAATTAAACAGATAACAGCCCGAAAATGAATTTCGGAGACTTCCAAATTAAAGTTTTGGAATATATATTATTTCAAAGGGGAGTTATAATGGGGAACACATAATATATTTTATTTTACCCGATAAAATAAATTATGATTAAAACAGTCCGAAAAATACAACTTTCGGGACCGATTGTACACACCGGGACACAAAGGGATGACCTCCCACATGAGTGGGGGCCACCCCACGTTTTTTTGTGCTGTAACAACAAGGAAGGGCCTAGGTTGACAAAAGATTGAGTGGAGGAAGGTGCAAGGGGGCCCTTTGACCTCACTCATTTGCCAAAGGAGACAAAAAGGACACACCAACCTCTCCCCTATGCATTATTTCGGCCTAGCTACCAAAGGAGGAGGAAGAAAAAGCTCTCCAACCTTTCTCCATTGCTGCAACTCGAGCTCAAGCAAGAAGGATCCAAGAAGTGGGATTAAAGAAGGAAAAAGGCTAGGAAAAGTGTGTAAAATTAAGGCACTTGTAAAGGGTATTTCAAGTGATTTCACAAAGTTGGAAAAGTCGCCGGAGTTGTCACCGGAGTTGACCAAAAGTCGCCGGAGTTTCACCGGAGTTCAACCAAGAAGGGTAGAACTTCTTAACGCTAGTTCAAGGTGAGTGGACGGCTTAATATCTTATAACTTTTGGGTAAATTATGAGATTACCTAAATAAATGTTAAATGTGTTCATAATGATGTTTAAAAGATATTTAAACATGTGATTAGCCAACATTATCAAGTTGTATGAAAAGAATTAATTGATTATGCATGAAATATGATGTGAGAAATTATATAAAATGCACATTAGCTTGAAGTGTAAAAGAAGCTCAAATGAGTATTATTGACTTAATCATATGGTGATTTAGTTGATATGTACAAGGCTTGAATTGGCGGTCAACGACAACGTTGACCGATGAATGATGGATTAATTAATATCGGTTGATGTTAGTTAATTATACATTTATATAAATGCATGGCTTGCTTGGATTGTGATACATAAGATTTATGTATTGGATTAGTTATGAGTAACTAAGGATGATATAGACTCTATCTAGGTTGATAGGAGGTTGATCATAGGAAAATTGGTGGAGGACCCTAGTACTTAAAAAGTACTTAACACTCAAACTTGGTGGAGGACCCTAGTACTTAAAAAGTACTTAACACTCAAACTTGGTGGAGGACCCTAGGACTTAAAGTCCTTAACACTCAACTTGGTGGAGGACCCTAGTACTTAAAAAGTACTTAACACTCAAACTTGGTGGAGGACCCTAGGACTTAAAGTCCTTAACACTCAACTTGGTGGAGGACCCTAGTACTTAAAAAGTACTTAACACTCAAACTTGGTGGAGGACCCTAGTACTTAAAAAGTACTTAACACTCAAACTTGGTGGAGGACCCTAGGACTTAAAGTCCTTAACACTCAACTTGGTGGAGGACCCTAGTACTTAAAAAGTACTTAACACTCAAACTTGGTGGAGGACCCTAGGACTTAAAGTCCTTAACACTCAACTTGGTGGAGGACCCTAGTACTTAAAAAGTACTTAACACTCAAACTTGGTGGAGGACCCTAGGACTTAAAGTCCTTAACACTCAACTTGGTGGAGGACCCTAGTACTTAAAAAGTACTTAACACTCAAACTTGGTGGAGGACCCTAGGACTTAAAGTCCTTAACACTCAACTTGGTGGAGGACCCTAGTACTTAAAAAGTACTTAACACTCAAACTTGGTGGAGGACCCTAGTACTTAAAGTACTTAACACTCAAAACTCGGTGGAGGACCCTAGGACTTATGAGGCCTTAACACTCACAAACCGGTGGAGTATCCGAGGATTTTGATCCTAAAACTCATAGATTATGATATACAAATAGGGACAAGAAGGAGTCCTATACACTCATAGGTATATGGGTGGGTTGGGGTTTTTAGTCAAGAATATTGACTAATACTATTTTTCCCAAATAAAATGGTGATCTACGGATCGGATATTTTCCAAGTATATATATATACTAATAAGTATTTCATAACTTGGGGGAAAGACTATCTATTTAAGTATCACCCTATGTTTGGGTCTTATACTTGAAACGCTAGTTATTCTATATTTAGCCTGCTACTCGCTCGGTACTTGTACTGACCCCTTCGGGGGCCCCCACCATTTTCAGGTTGAAGCTAGGGCTTGCTACTTGCACCTTCTCACGGGTGGTATCATATCGGGAAGACGTGGTTCGTGCTTCCTTATTTTCTTTCAAACTACCGACACTTGCTCATGGATATTTGTCCTACTATAAACTATTTTTGGGGCTTGCATGCCCATGTTGTTGGCCGGTTGTGGCTTATGACTTACCGTTGAATATTTCCGCTATTCATTGGTTTAAATGTGATGTTGTTATGTATGTTTACTACTGAGTATGGATGGATTGTTTTCTTGAACGCCTGGTGTAATTAAGTGGGGTTGACTCGCGGGTGACGTCACTTAATTATACGGCGGTTGTACACGCGCTTGGGTTGCGGTCTGGGGCGTGACAATTAAGTGGTATCAGAGCCATCTCAGTTCTAAACATTATAATCAACCTCTCACAAAAGATTTTACAAAAGAGTTTTTACCGAAAACCATGAGCATGGTATTTTGACGTTTATAGGACTATTGGTGCTTAAGTTGCAAGGCCTCTAATTGTTAAGACGGTACCCTTAACAATTGGTATGGTAGTGACTTGGGCCAATACGTGTCTGTAACGTTCTTCCGTCAGTTGACATTTATAGGAGTCTAATGACTCATCCATATTTCTTTCAGAAATGGAGGGCGGGCGAATGAGGACCAGGAACAATCCGAGGGGGCAGGCGCCGGTAGCATCCCAAAGGGGAAGCCGGGCTGCATCTCGGGGTTCGAGAGGAGGCCGTGGAGGTCGTGGAAGCCGTGGAGGTCATCAAGCTCAAACTGTGAGTGATGGCCATGTGAGCTCGGTGTATGAGACCAACACCGAAGACTACGACTCAACCTACGTGCCAGAGACGGAGCATGAAGAGACCCCGTATGATGGGGGTGACACGTACACCGATGATGATGATGAAGAGAGTGATGCCAAGTTCGCCCAAATGGGCGAATTGCTTGAATGGTATCAAAAAGAAAAATTGAGGAGGGACCTTAGGCGCCAAGCGAGGCGTGGCTCTCGCGGTGGTTCGGGTCAAGGAAGCCGGGGAGCTTCCGTGGCCACCCCAGCGGCGTCACAAGGTGGGCGTGAAGGAGGTTTTGTCGTGAGAATCTCCAAGTACCTCAAGGAGGCTAGGGCCTTGGGGTGTAGGTCCTTTGACGGCACCGGTGACATTACCGTTGCCGCAGATTGGATTAAGAAGGTGAAGGATGCATCAAGAGACATGCAAATCACACCGGACGTGAAGTTGACTGTCGCTTCACGGTTACTTGAAGGGATAGCCTCTACGTGGTGGGAGAGCGTGGAAGGGAAGTACCATGGGGAAATAACATGGGCGGATTTTGAGCTAGAGTTCTATGCTCAATACTACTCCGAGTACGAGGTGAATGTGAAAAGGAGAGAGTACACTAACCTCAAACAGAAAGATGGCGGCACAGTTAAGCAACTGGAACAAGAGTTTAGAACCTTGGCTAGGTTCTTGCCGGAGTACGCGGTTGATGAGAACCGCATGACGGAGCACTTTTGGGATGCCTTACTCTTAGACATCCGTGATCGGGCCACGTACTCGCGCCACATGACCTTTAGCGAGGTGGTGGAGCAGGGCCTTCTTGGGGAGGCCCAATGGAATGAAAGAAAGGAGAGAGACGCCGAGGAGGCGAAGAAGAGGAAATGGCATGGTTCGGGGCCGCCCGAGCAAGCACGGAAAGATAAACACGGTGGGGGTGGTGGTTGGTTCAAGACACCGGCACCACCGGCAAAGAAGAACAGGGATGCTCGGTGGCATGCATCCTCCTCCCAAAAGACGGGGCCTCCAAAGTGTGCCAATTGTTCGAAAAATCACTTTGGGAAGTGCAATGCACCCCCGAGGTGTTATCAATGTGGGAACACGGGCCACATGAAGGCCAATTGCCCACAACTGGGGGGCGGAGGAGCTCCGGGATCCGGAGGAGGAACCATGACGGGGAGAAACCGTGCGGGCCCGTCAAACGGCGGTACGGGAAGGGGCGGTGCGTCCACAAGTCATGCCGCGTCCGTAAATCAAGGCGGGACCCAAGCACGAGTGTACGCAATGACCGAGGCAGATGCGCGAGCAAACCCGGACTCCGTTGCAGGTAATATGCTTATTTTCCTGTATTTCTAGGCTTATTTGGGTCATACGAGTCATTGGGTTTGGGTGCGGGCCACCCCGGGGTCAAACCCCACGAATTCGGGGCGAAACGGGCTAAAAACAACTACGCGCGATCGCGCGTACCTACAGACGCACGACCGTGCGTGCGAGGCAGCAGCCTCTGGCCAATTTCCGCGCAGACGCACGCCGTGCGTGCAGGTTAGGCACGCCGTGCGTGGGACGCACGATCGTGCGTGACTAGCTACGCACGATCGTGCGTAGCCGGCAGTGGCGGGTTCCGAATTTCTCACGCACGCACGACCGTGCGTGCCACCCAGGCACGCCGTGCGTGGACCCCAGGCACCCGAAACTTGATTTTTTCGCCCCGTTCTCCTACGTTTGGATCCCCGTTTGATTCCAAACATTAGTATGAACCTAATAACCTCCTAATGATGTGTAAAAACATTAGAAAAGGTATCTTACATGGTGTATAAATGTAGGAACATTAAAGATCAATGGTAGGTGTGCGAGGATCCTCATCGATACCGGGGCACAACGCTCATTTGTGAGTGAGGCGTTTGCCGAGGGGCTCGACGTGCCATTGACGCCTATGACACAAACATTGCTAGTCTCCACACCGTTAGGAGACGACGTGGAGAGAAATCATTACTATCCATCATGTGAGGTGGAAGTGACGGGTCAACCCTTGACTTGTGATTTCGTACCTCTAAGCATGTTGGAGTTCGATGCAATCCTAGGAATGGATTGGCTTGAGAAGCACCATGCTCGAGTTGATTGCTACACCAAGGTGTTGGAGCTCGAGGATGATCTAGGAAACACGTATTGTTTCGAAGGAGATCGGGGGAAATCTAGTGCTTGTATCATATCCGTGATGAGAGCACGGAAGATGATGAGGAAGGGATGCCACGCGTACCTTGCCTACGTGGTGGACGATACCAAGAAGGAAGTCGACATCAAAGATGTACGGGTCGTGTGCAAGTACCCGGATGTCTTTCCCAAAGACCTACCGGGGCTTCCACCCGATAGAGAGATAGAGTTTGTAATTGAAGTGGAGCCGGGAACCAAACCCATTTCGATTCCTCCTTATCGAATGGCGCCGGCCGAACTCCAAGAGTTGAAGGTCCAACTACAAGAATTACTGGACAACGGGTTCATCAGACCCAGTCATTCACCGTGGGGAGCACCCGTACTCTTCGTAAAAAAGAAAGATGGTACACTAAGAATGTGTATTGACTACCGACAGTTGAACAAGGTCACAATCAAGAACAGGTATCCCTTACCGAGGATTGATGACTTGTTTGATCAACTTCGGGGGGCAATAGTGTTCTCGAAGATTGATTTGAGGTCGGGGTATCATCAGTTGAAGATCAAGGAAAGCGACATACCTAAGAGTGCATTCCGTACTAGGTATGGTCATTACGAGTTCCTTGTGATGTCATTTGGTTTAACCAACGCACCGGCGGCATTCATGGACTTGATGAACCGGGTGTTTAGTGAATACTTAGATCAATTCGTAATAGTATTCATTGATGATATCTTGATATACTCCAAGAGCGAGGAGGAGCACGAACATCATTTGGGGCTTATACTTGATCGGCTAAGGGAAAAGCAACTCTTTGCCAAGTTCTCTAAATGCGAATTTTGGCTCAAGGAGATCGGTTTTCTTGGTCATGTCATATCCGGTTCGGGCGTAGCTGTGGATGACGCCAAGATAAAAGCTATCATGGATTGGGAGAGACCCAAGAATGTGAAAGAGATACGTAGTTTCCTTGGCTTAGCGGGATACTATCGTAAATTTGTTGAAAAATTCTCCGTATTGGCGTCTCCATTAACGAAGCTCACAAAGAAAGGGGCCAAGTTCATATGGGACGACAAGTGTGAGAAAGGGTTCCTTGAACTGAAGAAACGACTTACCGAAGCACCCGTCCTTGCCCTACCCATACAAGGGATAGGGTATGATATATACAGCGATGCTAGCATCCAAGGGCTTGGATGTGTACTGATGCAAAACGGTAAGGTGATTGCCTATGCTTCTAGGCAATTGAGGAAGCACGAGGTGAACTACCCTACCCATGATCTAGAATTGGGGGCGGTAGTGTTTGCACTAAAAATTTGGAGGCATTACCTCTACGGGGAGACATGTCATATTTATACCGATCATAAGAGCTTGAAGTATGTATTCACTCAAAAAGAGTTGAATATGAGACAAAGGAGATGGATGGAGTTGATCAAGGACTATGACTTGATCATCGACTATCATCCCGGAAAGGCCAACGTAGTGGCCGACGCACTGAGCAGGAAGAGTACGTCAGGGACGTTGCTTACTTGTCTGCAGGCATTGAGGGCACGCGTGGAGGTGTCCACGTGCGGGGCTCTCATTGCTCAATTTGAGGTTAGGCCCACCCTATTGGGTGAGATTAGTCGAAGTCAGGCCATTGATGAAGAATGTCAGAAGATCCGTGAAAGAATCCTTGAAGGACCCGTTGAGAACTTCCGAATACGTGATGACGGTCTATTGTTGTTTAAGGATCGTGTATGCATACCAAAGAAAGAGGAACTCCAGAAGTCTATACTTGAGGAGGCTCATTCTTCAGCTTATGCTATGCATCCAGGAGGTACTAAGATGTACCGAGATTTGAAGGAAAGTTACTGGTGGTCAGGTATGAAGAGGGACATCGCAGAGTATGTGAGTCGATGCCTTACTTGCCAGCAAGTTAAGGCAGAACATCAGCACCCGGCAGGGCTTTTGCAGCCACTCACCATCCCAGAGTGGAAGTGGGAGCACGTGACCATGGACTTCGTGGTGGGGCTACCACGAACAGTGAACAACTATGATGCAGTTTGGGTAGTGGTTGATAGGCTCACCAAGAGTGCACACTTTTTGCCTATCAACATTACTTATCCTCTTGAAAGATTGGCCAAGCTCTACACGGAGGAGATTGTGAGATTACATGGAGTCCCGATATCCATTGTCTCGGATAGGGATCCACGATTCACATCCCGATTTTGGCCAAAGTTTCAAGCATCGTTGGGTACTAAACTGAAGTTTAGCACAACTTTTCACCCACAGACGGATGGGCAGTCCGAGCGGGTGATACAGATTTTGGAAGACATGCTTAGGGCATGTGCCCTGGAGTTCCAAGGAAGTTGGGACAAACATTTGGCTCTAGTGGAGTTTGCTTATAACAACAGTTATCAAGCAAGTATCGGCATGCCTCCATATGAGGCATTGTATGGGAGGAAGTGCAGAACACCATTATGTTGGGACGAGGTTGGCGAGGCCAAACTCGAAGGAGTGGAACTAGTCGAGATCACCAAGGCCAAGGTGAGGGTCATTCGAGATAGATTGAAGGCCGCTCAGGACCGACAGAAGAGTTATGCTGATAAACGGCGGAGACCGTTGGAGTTCGAGGTCGGTGATGAGGTTTTTCTAAGGATTTCTCCTTGGAAGGGCATCATCCGATTTATATCGAGGGGGAAGCTTAACCCCCGATACATCGGCCCATTTGAAATCCTTGAAAGGATAGGGGCCGTGGCTTACCGTCTCAAGTTGACTCCTGAACTTGAGAAGATACATGACGTGTTTCATGTATCAATGCTCAAGAAGTACATACGAGACCCATCTCATATTCTTGAGAAACCACCGGTAGAGATCCGTGAGGACTTGCAATATGCGGTGGAACCAGTGAAGATTGTTGGTCAACAAGTGAAGAAGCTTAGGAGTAAGGAGATTCCTATGGTAAAGGTTCTTTGGAGGAGCGATCGAGTCGAAGAAGAAACTTGGGAGACCGAGGTCTCAATGAGGGAGCAATACCCATTTCTTTTCGATTAGATACTTGGATTTCGGGGACGAAATCCCAAATAAGGGGGGGTGAACTTGTAACACCGTCCCCAAATATATTTACTTTTATGTAAATAATGTATTGAACCTTAATAAAGGATTAATGAATTTACGAAGTTGTAAATTTTTCTTCCGCGTGAATAGTAAATTGCACGTGGGACCCACACCGGGAGCGGGGGCCGCCCGATATTCCCGAGATCACACAAATTATCATTTTGGGTCGAAATAATATTTATATGGTGGTGGACATCTTATTTGGGCCATGGGAAGGCCTGGGGTTGACCGATTGGTCAGAAGAAGCCCAATTACCGGTACTGACAATTAAACAGATAACAGCCCGAAAATGAATTTCGGAGACTTCCAAATT